ATTCGGCACAGCCGAATATAACACTATCACTTGTTACCCTTGTTTTTTAAATTTATTTATTCGCGTGTGTGCGTGTAATTTTATAATAAAAAATCTCTCTTATATCAGCGCATTTTTTATACCCACCATCAAAAAAGATGGGGGTATATTGATTTTGTCATTCCGTTTGTAACACATCGAAATATTTGTCATAGACCCATAAAAGTATATATCTTCTGGGTCCTTATTAGGTAGGTAGGTAGGTTGATAGGAGGATGTATACTACATCAAATCCGAAGAAATACACCTAGGCCACTATCGAGCCTGTTGTGCGCTCCTGGCAGTAGCAAAGAAAGTGCTCCAGAGTTTCACTATCCTCTCCACATGCTCTACATTCATCTGAATCCGCACGTCCAATTTTGCATAGATGTGCTCGTAATCATGTGTGTCCACTCAGAATACGTACCATCATACAAACTTCAGACGTGCTCATTTTGAGGATATTTTTCGTCTTGCTCTCATCAGGGTCACTCCATAGGATCTTCGTGGTTCTACCCACTGTTTCATTATTCCAAGGCACCATATTTATTCTCATCCAATTTACGCATTTCGTTATTTCTCGTACTTCTGCCTGGAAGCTTGTGTTATGATTTGGTAAACGGTGGTATATTTCTGTTTCTGGGTCTTCAATATAGAACCCCAGCCCCACTTTGTCCCCCAATTTAGAGCCATCCGTGTAACAACGGATTTCTACTGGTATTTGCTCTAATGTTCTGCTTGACCAAGACATTCTATCTGGGATCAGCGTTTCAAGGTTTTCGACATATTCTGTGTCTGGTATACGATCAGGCACGTCCGATGATTGTGTATAACCTTCCAATGTGTCCAGTATACATTGATGACGTGACCGCTTTGACCAGTTCGCCTAAAGTAAAGAGCCCTTCGGCTGTAAGCGCCGCCTCATATCTTAAATATGTTTCAATGGGTGGAATATCTAGCAACGTTTCCAGAGCCTTGGTTGAAGTAGTACACATGGAACCACTTATACCCAAGCAGCATGTACGCTGAACTCCCTGTAGTAGTTTGATATAGCACTTTTTGTGTAAAGCAGTCCATCAGATTATTGAAGCATAAGCTAGAATTGGTCTAATTACACTTTTATAAAGGCAATTTGTCATAGTAGGACTAAGACCCCATTTCATGCCTATAGTTCTCCTACATATCGCCTAAAGTACGACTATAGCGATGAAATTCGACATACATAAGTTTCATATGATCCAAAGTCTTCCTACTAAATTTTATGAGGATCGGTCCATAATTGACCCTACCCCCCATATAAGGTCCCCTTCGGATATAAATAAGAATATAGCAATGAAATTTGACGAGCCAAAACATCTCTACTACATTTTATGTAGATCGGTCTATAATTGACCCTACCCCGCATATAAGGTCCCCTTCAAAAAATGACCTTAACGCTCATAACTGGTTTTAAAATACGAATATAGCGATGAAGTTGGACACAGATAAGATTCATGCGAGTCATAATCTCTCTACCAAATTCTATGTGGATCGGTAAATAATTGACCCTACCCCCCATATAAGATCCCCTTCAGAAAATTACTTTAACGCTAATTACTTTCTTAAAAATACGAGTAAAGCAATGAAAGTTGTGACGGGTACGTTGTTACTAAGAAAAACACAGTTGGTACTGACCAACTGGTCAGCACTGAAAGTGATTATATTTAGGAACTATTCTGGTGCCTTTACTTCACACCTTGGAGAAACATACCTGTATGACCACTCGTCCAGCTGACATGGTATAAATGTTCTTAATTTGTAGGTCTTCACAAAACACTTTCATTTGGAAAGAGAAATTCAATATTAAATTATAATTTTCAAACATAGTTGTTTACTTTATTTCGTTAATTTGTTTATGGTTTTTTTGTTGTTTTCCTTGGAAGAACTGTCAAATATTTTTGTAGAGTAATATGGTTTTATGTTCACGACATACAGGGGGCAGTGAAGTTATAGACTTTAGTGTCCATTCACAATAACGATGCACTTAACGAAAAAAAGCATGTAATGACCTTACAATGATCTTGAGAAAAACGATGTAAGAGGGAGAAACGAGGGGTGGTGGGTTTATGATCGTTCAGAACGACTTCAACATAGACTTACAAGATCACGTTGATCATTATGTCATAGATAAGTGAAAGTGGAAGTCTAATTGTATTCATTAGTAACGCAAGTCATTGAGCAAAAATATTTTTAATTAAGAAAGAGAAAGTGAATTAAGCTAATTATATTAATAAACCACCTAATTAATAGAAAAAGCATAGCATAAATCAAAGGTGAGATGAATAAGTTATTAAATAACCAATAGCCTTATGACATTATACAATGAATTAAATGTTATACTTAATATAAATTACTTAGATAATTGTATTTTAGGTATTGCATAATTCAATTGTATAAAATCATAAGTAATCGTAATAAAAAAAAAACAGATAGTTGTAATAATTGAGTTTGATGTTTCATTCAAAAAGGAATCACCAGTGTCGCAGAGCCATCTATTTGTAAGAAACAAAGGCCCATATTACAGTTTAGCAAAGACAGAGGCAAACACAAGGTATTTTCACAGCCAAGATTGAATAAAGAAAATCCCCCCGAGAGAAATTTCAGCGAAGACAACAACCTAGAACATGGGGAACATTGGGCAAGTGTATATCGTACGGTAAAGCCAATAAAAGGAAAATTCAGGGTAAGCGTTAAGAAGAAAACTCTATAGTGGACACTGGTGATATTCTAATGACCCATACGACCTTTAAGGTCACGTGATAGGTTGAAAGTCACCTTGAATATAAAGGACAAAAAGAAAACTAACCTAAAAATTCTTGTAGTTATATGTTATATGTGTGCATGCTACAAATCTAAGATCATATTTAAAAAAAAAAAAAAACAAATCAGATAAATAAATTCTAAAGCTAAAAAAAAAAAAAAAAAATTCAACATATATGTAAATTCAATAAGATGAATTAAGAAAAACAAAAAAAAAAAAAAAAAAAACCACCTAATATCGATTTTTTTTAAATAATTTTTCTATAATTCTGAAAAATCACTTAAATATAATATTACATAAGTAATATTTTGTTATAATCGTCAGTATTATTATTAATTTTGTTATTATTATTAATCTTATTAATATTAATTTAATTATTATTATTATTTTGTTACTATTAATTTTGTTATTATTAATTTTGTTGTTAAGTATTGAAATTTGTTATTAAAATTATAAAAAAATATCAAACATTTTTTGCCATATAATCGTAATCCAAAAAAAAAATATTTTAAAAACTCTAATACATACTTATGTATACATGTTTTTAAGATATTATTATTTAATATATATTTTGGAGAAAGGTACGCCATATTAAATAAACACATAAATAAATAAATTAAATTAATTAAATTATATTAAACTAAAAAAAAAAGAAAAAATAAAAATAAAATAAAAATAAAAATAAATAAAATAAAATAAAATAAAATAAAATAAAATACAATACAATAAAATAAAATAAATAAATAAAATAAAATAAAATAAATTAAATTAAATTAAATTAAATAATTAATTAAATAAATTAAATTAAATTAATTAAATTAAATTAAATTTTAAATTAAATTATTATAATTACATTAAATTAAAATAATAAATACCTAACTACATAATAAAATCCTCAAATACATAACAATAAAATTAATACATAAATAAAATAATAAAATCTAATATAATAAAATAAAATACCAATACCATCACATACTATACAACCCCCCCCCACCCATTTAGCATTATTCTTATCAGAATAAGCGATTGTTTTGTTTTCTTATTAAATTTGTTTTTAATTTAAACCATAATGTTTATAAAGAAAATATATGAAATTATTACATAAATCTTTATAAAGAAAATATATAAAATTATTTGAAACTTTATAAGTTAATTTCTATCTACATTTTTTTATAATTTTGTTAAATTCATATCAAATTTTCTAATTTATGTTTAATTTCTTTAATTTATAACTAAAATAAAATTTTTATATATATTTTGATTATGATAATCTGAAATTCACAATTATTGTCAATCATGGAAAGATAAATTGGACAAGGTAATGGTGTGAATCGTGGTTCCCTGGTAAGTTTTTGTTAGGGGTTTTAGTCATAGCAAATACGAGTTCACTAGAACCAAGATGGCTTGCAACATTGTCATATCAGGGGTGGGGCAACTACGTGAAGTTATCCCAGCTCAACCTTCAGTGACTCTATCCAACCATAGGGACCTGCCGTTTCTACTGTCAAACGTCCGTCTGGTCTATTTGGGTATTCATTTCGTAGTGTAACTGTTTTGTGTTTAATATTTTGAAATTATAAGGCACGAATAAATTTTTAAGTGTAGAGGACACAAGTGGAAAAGAACCACCTCCTAATCCCGACGAGCTAATGCCGTGCGACCACCAGCGTGCCGGTTCCACTTACCCAGAAGTCCCTCACATTTATGGCGCCCAACGTATGAGCATTCTTTAAAAATGCCATACATATCAATACTTAAAGGTTTATATCATTAACACAAGTCCCGGAAGGTGTAACAGTTATAACGCCATGCCTGGTTGCGGTGTTTATTTTATGATCAGTTAAGTATTGATGAACCTATTATTTTGATTCGAAATGATTCCAATAAAGTAAGTCATAAAGCATTAGACTAACACGTCCAGACTTTATTAGCGACTTTATGGAATTCATGAAGATGAAACTTAATTTGTTCTCTCATATAGAGTTTTGTTTTGTAAATAGAGTCAAGTTTTTTTTGTTGACAGTAGAACCAAAGGCATAGAAAATACAGTTCCGAACACAATCTATGGTATAGTAAATTTTATTTAATTTTCGTAATGAAAATCAATTTTAAAAAATTTTACAAATTCGATGTTTTGGGTAAAATATAAATATATTATGATTAAATTCATAGTATATGGAAAATATATTAGGATATTGGTATACAGAAAACTCCAAAGAAAAGGATTTACGAGTCACCAAATATAAACTTCCAGCCAACCAACTTCGTGATTCACATCAACCAGTCACATCTGAAATCGAGAAAAGAAGAATTAAAAACAATTATTATTATCGACAATTATTATTATCGAAATTAATATATGTATATTTATTTAGATTAAAAATTTAACGTAGAACTAACAAAATAATAAAATTTCTTAATAATTAATGTGTAAATTAGTCATTAAACAATACTAAAAAGATCGTTCGTTATATACATTTTTTTTGTCATTTATTGTACTAATTTTTTGGTATTTGTTTTCTTAATTTATTGTTATTATTATCTATTTCGTTTTAATTATTAAATCAATACTTTTCTCAAATTACTTTTTCAATATATTTTTCTCATCGTATGTTTATACATTTGAGAATAATTCGATCCAAACTTTTCTTGTTTAGTTGATAAACAAACTACTCTTGCTTCCTAAGTCTTTCGTTTTGTTTAGTTATTTTCTTCAAACAAAACATTTTCAAATACTTTTTTTGATATAATTTTTTTTAGTTTTCATTCATAAGTTCATACGATCGGGATATGTAGATAATATATATTGAAAAGAAAAGATATTCGATACTCACTATTGAGATTGAAAGTATTTGCTTTTATATCTTTTCCAATTTGACTTATAAAATCTAATTGTCGTGTACTGAGAATTAAAATCTGTATTGTGTATTTGTTTAATACTTAGTATTTCTACTTTACTAACTACGAAAATTTTTGCTAGTGCTGTTTATTTTCATTATAATTATTACTTCATTTGATATTTCTTATTTGAATATTAATATTCTTAAACCTTATAATAATTTTGCTACAACATAATTCTAAGACTTTTCAATTTCCATAGAAAAATTCACCTTATCAAGATTGACTTCCATTCTGACTAAATTAGCTACTTTAGTTGTTAGGATTTAAATTGATTAGATCGGTAACGAGTTTACTCGATAGCCTGATAGGTAAAAGTTATAAGGAATTTTGAAATCAGGGAAATAGGATTCCACTATGACAAGTGTTCCTGAAAAGACAACAAATACAAGGTCATCAAGTCGCATACAAGCTAGAAATCGCGATGGATCAACATCAGCAGCGACAAATCAACAGCATACTCATACTAACAAGCCTCCTACTCCTCAAATGAGCACGAACGCGATACTACCGTTAATGTCACTACAGTTTCCGACAGGTCCCCAGACTTCATCTTCTCCAGAATCTGGTACAACTATTCAATCTCCCGAATATAGTAGTAACGCAGCGAGAAGTGTTGTAGTTGAAGAACGTGCAAATATGCCCCAACAAAATACTAGAATGCCACGGTTAACGAAGAAGTGAATCCTGAGATGCCAGTGAATGGGCATGGGTTATCATTACAGGATTACATTAGAGCCTCAGTAGGATCGGCGCAAGCTATGATTATGAAAGAGGTACAGGATAACTTAAAGGCTTTGGTCCCACAGATTATCCGAGATTCACTACGATCCGAACAAAATTCCACAATGGAAACTCAATCGGGAAATCAAACCAACAGAAACAACCATCATGATCGTACTCCGGACCAAAATCACAACAATACAAACTGCACCAATCAAAATAGCGTTCCACAGTTCAATCAACACCAACCACAAAACCAATATACTCCACAAAATACACCCACTTATCATCATAATTCTCCATTACAGATGGAAAAATGGGGTTTTAAATATGACGGCAACAACCAAGTTTTGAGTGTAGAAGACTTTGTGTTCCGTGTTGAAGCATTACACGAAGATTACCAATGTCCTTGGAGCACCTTTATGAAGGGTTTTCACCACTTAGTGACAGGAGGAGCTCAACAATGGTTTTGGAATTTTAGAAGGCAAAATCCCTCATGTGAGTGGCCACACTTAAGATACCATCTACTACGAAAGTTCAGGCGATACGATAGTGACTTCGAGATCCAAAGAAAAATTATGGAAAGACGTCAACATCCGACTGAATCTGCCGATTCCTTTATAGCCGAAATCGTGAAATTGCAAAATCAACTTAAAGTTAGAATTCCAGAATATGAACTTGTAAGACTGGTGAAGGACAATCTTAAAGAGGGGGTGACGCAGCTTATTTTCCCTATGGAGATAAGTAGCCTGGACCATCTACTCGAGGAATGCCGTAGAGCTGAACGCAATATTGCAAAGAGACCATCCTACCGTCTACAACCAAACCACCCGCGCAGGATAAACGAACTGGAATATGAAGGAATTCCGGAGGAGGAGAATCAATATCAAATCGAAGCCGTTAACCACACCAGTACTCCAGGCAAACAACTTATCTGCTGGAATTGCAAAAACTCCCGGCCATACATTTATCGACTGTACGCTGACCCAGAGAAATTTATTTTGTTATAGGTGTGGGTTCGAAAATGTGATCTCTCCAAATTGTCCAAAATGCAAGGGAAACAGTCAAAAGAACATGATGAAAACTGGACCAACATGTTCAACACAAAATCAGATCCAGTAAACAAAAATATTTCAACACATCTAAACAATAACTACAGACCGGAAGAAGAATACAAAATGCAGGAAAACGGAAATGAAATAAATAATCTTAAAAATTTAACAGAAAGTAAAGAAATTGATACGAAAGTTACATTACAGCCTAGGAAAACGGAGAGGATGCTAAAAGAACTAATACCATATGAAACTAGACTAGAAAATTATAATAAGAAAAGGGCAGAGATTTTTAATGGCATAGACCATAAACATACAAAACGAATGATTAAAACTAGGGAAAGATTTCATAAACGGAAACAGGAAAGAAAAGAAATAGCATCAACAACCTTGAATAATGACTTTGATATAAGACCCTATATGGAAGTAAACGTAAACGGACTCAAGCTGAAAGGACTAATGGATAGTGGAGCTACGATAAGTTGCTTAGGGCGTAATTGTGTTGAAAATGCTGAAAAGATGAACACTCAAATCATGGATTTCAAATCATCTATACGAACTGCAGATGGCGGAACCCATCGAATTATAGGCAAAATCAAAACACAAATACAGTGCGGGAATAAAGTAGAGGAAATGATGCTATATTTGGTTCCAAATCTCCAACAAGACCTTATATTAGGTTATGACTTTTGGCAACGTTTAGGAATTAAAATAAGCATTAATTCGGAGATTATTAATGAGTTAACAACAGTAGAAGAGGAAATGAAAATGCACAAGTTAAACGAACAACAATCGATTGAACTCGAAAACGTAAAACTTTTTTTCAAATGTTATACAAAGTATGGGCTTGGCAAAACACATTTAGAAACTCATACTATTGATACGGGAAACGCACCAGCGAAAAAAATGCGATACTACCCAGTGAGCCCAGCGATTCAAAAGTTAACTTACGCCGAATTGGACCGAATGTTAGACCTTGACGTAATCGAAGTTGCTACGAATGCCGAATGGAATAACCGAACAACATTAGTCATCAAACCTAATAAAAACCGTCTCTGTTTAGATGCCAGAGAGTTGAACAAAGTCACGCGAAAAGATGCATACCCCCTCCCCAATATCGACGGATTATTAGCTCGTTTAGGTGACACGCATTATATCTCGGCAATAGATTTGAAGGATGCCTTTTGGCAGATTCCGCTCGAAGAATCTGCCAGACCAAAGACCGCATTCACAGTCCCCGGTAGACCTCACTACCAGTTCAAGGTAATGCCATTTGGACTGTGTAATGCGGCCCAACGTCTCTGTCGCCTTATGGATAAAATAATCCCGTCCGAATTGAAAGATCGCATCTTTGTCTATTTAGATGACTTCTGGTTGTTTCACCCGACTTCAATACACATATGACAATGCTGAAAATCGTTGGAAATAAACTCTCAGATGCAGGACTCACTATTAACATGCAAAAGTCAAAATTCTGTTATAAAGAGTTACGTTATCTTGGCTATATCGTGGGAGGTGGTAAGCTTAAACCAGACACCAGTAAAATGGATGCGATATTAAATATAAAACCACCTAAAAACCCGAAAGACGTTCGAAGATTTCTCGGTACCGTCGGATGGTACCGAAGATTTATTCAAGATTTCTCTACACTAACCTCACCGCTTACAGATACGCTGAAGAAATCATCAAAGTTTGTTTTCACCCCGGAAGCTTGTAAAGCTTTCGAAGATCTGAAGAAAAGACTAGTTACCAGTCCAGTACTGACAAGTCCCGATTTCGAACGACCCTTTTTTGTACAGTGTGACGCTTCGAATGTAGGAATTGGAGCCGTTTTATTTCAGAAAGACGACGAAGATTGCGAACACCCTATTGAATTCTTTTCTAAAAAGTTAAATACAGCACAACAGAACTACTCGACAACTGAAAAAGAATGCCTCGCGGTAGTCCTGGCGATAGACAAATTCAGGCAGTACATTGAGCTTATGGAATTCACAGTCATTACTGATCATTCTAGTCTCAAATGGCTGATGAAGCAGCAGGACTTAAGCGGACGATTAGCTCGATGGAGCTTAAAACTACAACATTATAAGTTTAACATAGAACACAGGAAAGGTAGTAAGAATGTAGTTCCAGATATGTTGTCGAGACTAGAAGTAGAAGAAGTGACAGTACCTACCCCCATTATAGATTTCGACTCCGAAGAGTTTAAATGTACTGAGTATACCACTTTGATTGATACAATCCAACAAAATAAGGATAGATTACCAGATCTCAAGGTAGAAGATAACATCGTATATAAAAGAGTTAGATTCAATCAGGACGAAGTTGAGAACGAAGAAGATTGTTGGAAAATCTGGTTGCCTAATGGACTTACAAATGAAATAATAAGAAAATCTCATATCAATAACACCGCTCACGGCGGTACAGCAAAAACTCTTTTTTACATTAGGGAATTCTTCTATTGGCCATCTATGGTTAAACAAATAAAGAAATTTATACGAGAATGTGATACCTGTAAGGAAATAAAACATCCGAAACAAACCTTAAGGCCCACAATGGGAAATGAAGTCGTGACGCAAAGGCCCTTTCAAAAAATCTACGTCGACTTTCTTGGTCCCTACCCAAGGTCAAAATCCGGTAACACGTACATATTCATTGTACTAGATCATAAAACGAAATTTGTGTTATTAAGAGCAATGCCTAAAGCAACAACTAAAGCTGTAAACAAATTCCTAATCGACGAGATTTTCCATAAATTCAGTGTACCAGAAACACTACACTCAGATAACGGCAAACAGTTCATATCAGAATCGTTTCAAGACCTATTGAAAACGTATGGAGTCACCCATATGCGGACGGCAATTCACTCTCCACAGGCCAACGCAAGTGAAAGAGTGAACCAATCAATTTTGGCAAGTATAAGAAGCTATCTACAACAAGACCAGTCGAAATGGGACGAAAATTTATCCAAAATCGAGTGTTCCTTACGATCAACAGTTCACGCGTCAACAGGAGTAACGCCATATTTCGCTCTCACCGGATACAATATGGTCACTCACGCGCAAGCCTATTCCATTCTGCGTAAACTCGGAGCTCTTGATAGTAATGAGATTGTATTACCTAAGGCAGAACAGATGAAATTAATACACGAAAAAATCAACACAAAAATACATGAGGCATACAAACGGAATGCAAATTCATACAATAAAAGGAGTAGATCGATAACTTTTCAACCTGGACAGGAAGTATTTAGAAAGAATTTCATCCAAAGCAACTTTGCCAAGGGTATTAATGCAAAGTTATGTAGGCCATGGTTGAAGTGTCGGATAAGATCAAGAGTAGGACTAAATCAATACGAGGTAGAGAATTTGAGAGGACAACTGATAGGTACGATACACGCTCAACATCTAAAACAGTAGCTAAGTATCAAAACTACTAGAAATGAGAATTTATACGATCATTAGGAAAAGTATAGGTAGATAATATATCATTTATTATGCCGCTATTATATTTTCTTATTGATTGAAGAAATCTTATCTATACAATTTTATTTGCATTATAAAAGAAGTAACTTGATGTTAGAAGAATGGATGACAGGTATGTAATTTGAAAACTTCTTTGTTAATGAATCTTTGACGTTATTAAAACACCAACTATTCCCTATGACAATGACTCATGATACTAAACAACACGATACAGATTAACCTCCACTAAAATAAAGATAAATGTACTCTTTTTGACAGCAATAAAATCAACAGTAATTGACCTAATCTTGTAATACACCTACAGTAATCATCTAGCCACTATACGGTCAAGCCAAATTTTTCAGGTCCTTGGTTAAACTTACAATTATTTATTTTATTTTATAGTAACTTACACAGTTTTACAAGATTCCAAACACAAATCGAATAGAGCTTCTCACGAATTCAAACTTAAATAATGATGAATAGGTCTGTAAAAGAGATAAAGACTTTTGAAAATGAAACAAAAAGATTATATTGAAACATACAATACCGCGAAAATTTTGACATCAGTATATTTCTAAAGTCATACACGTTTTAGTTAAATAGTTCCATGTACGTAAGACTATAAGACACATGGAAAATATTATGAATTTCATCTTGAACTTACCCATATAGTTTATCCTTCTTCACATAAAACTTCAATAGTACAATCAAATAGAGAATACTTAACTTTCAGATAAACACATCTAGAACCTATAAGCTATAGCGTCCCCGAACTGCGTGTTTCCCAACTTTTGTCGCATCATGGAATTCGCAACAAAAGCTGGCTTTGTGACGGGTACGTTGGTACTAAGAAAAACACAGTTGGTACTGACCAACTGGTCAGCACTGAAAGTGATTATATTTAGGAACTATTCTGGTGCCTTTACTTCAACCCTTGGAGAAACATACCTGTATGACCACTCGTCCAGCTGACATGGTATAAATGTTCTTAATTTTGTAGGTCTTCACAAAACACTTTTCATTTGGAAAGAGAAATTCAATATTAAATTTATAATTTTCAAACATAGTTGTTTACTTTATTTCGTTAATTTGTTTATGGTTTTTTTGTTTGTTTTCCTTGGAAGAACTGTCAAATATTTTTGTAGAGTAATCATGGTTTTATGTTCACGACATACAGGGGGCAGTGAAGTTATAGACTTTTATGTCCATTCACAATAACGATGCACTTAACGAAAAAAGTCATGTAATGACCTTACAATGATCTTGAGAAAAACGATGTAAGAGGGAGAAACGAGGGGTGGTGGGTTTTATGATCGTTCAGAACGACTTCAACATAAGACTTACAAGATCACGTTGATCATTATGTCATAGATAAGTGAAAGTGGAAGTCTAATTGTATTCATTAGTAACGCAAGTCATTGAGCAAAATATTTTTAATTAAGAAAGAGAAAGTGAACTAAGCTAATTATATTAATAAACCACCTAATTAATAGAAAAAGCAATAGCATAAATCAAAGGTGAGATGAATAAGTTATTAAATAACCAATAGCCTTATGACATTATACAATGAATTAAATGTTATACTTAAATATAAATTACTTAGATAATTGTATTTTAGGTATTGCATAATTTCAATTGTATAAAATCATAAGTAATCGTAATAAAAAAAAAACAGATAGTTGTAATAATTGAGTTTGATGTTTCATTCAAAAAGGAATCACCAGTGTCGCAGAGCCATCTATTTGTAAGAAAACAAGGCCCATATTACAGTTTAGCAAAGACAGAGGCAAACACAAGGTATTTTCAGCCAAGATTGAATAAAGAAAATCCCCCCGAGAGAAATTTCCCACGTGGCGAAATCATAATTGTGTCAGCGAAGACAACAACCTAGAACAGTGGGAACATTGGGCAAGTGTATATCGTACGGTAAAGCCAATAAAAGGAAAATTCAGGGTAAGCGTTAAGAAGAAAACTCTATAGTGGACACTGGTGATATTCTAATGACCCATACGACCTTTAAGGTCACGTGATAGGTTGAAAGTCACCTTGAATATAAAGGACAAAAAGAAAACTAACCTAAAAATTCTTGTAGTTATATGTTATATGTGTGCATGCTACAAATCTAAGATCATATTTAAAAAAAAAAAACAAATCAGATAATTAAATTCTAAAGCTAAAAAAAAAAAAAAAATTCAACATATATGTAAATTCAATAAGATGAATTAAGAAAAACAAAAAAAAAACACCTAATATCGATTTTTTTTTAAATAATTTTTCTATAATTCTGAAAATCACTTAAATATAATATTACATAAGTAATATTTTTGTTATAATCGTCAGTATTATTATTAATTTTGTTATTATTATTAATCTTATTAATATTAATTTAATTATTATTATTATTTTGTTACTATTAATTTTGTTATTATTAATTTTGTTGTTAAGTATTGAATTTGTTATTAAATTATAAAAAAATATTAACATTTTTTGCCATATAATCGTAATCAAAAAAAAAAAATATTTTAAAAACTCTAATACATACTTATGTATACATGTTTTTAAGATATTATTATTTAATATATATTTTGGAGAAAGGTACGCCATATTAAATAAACACATAAATAAATAAATTAAATTAAATTATATTAAACTAAAAAAAATAGAAAAAAATAAAAATAAAAATAAAATAAAATAAAATAAAATACAATACAATAAAATAAAAATAAAATAAAAATAAAAATAAAATAAATAAATAAATAAAATAAAATAAAATAAAATAAAATTAAATAAAATAAATAAAATATAATAAAATAAAATAAAATAAAATAAAATAAAATAAAATAAAATAAAATAAAATATAATAAAATAAAATAAAATAAAATAAAATAAAATAAAATAAAATAAAATAAAATAAAATAAAATAAAATAGAATAAATAAAATAATATAAAACAAAACACAACAATTAGCATTATTCTTAATCAGAATAAGCGATTGTTTTGTTTTCTTATTAAATTTGTTTTTATATTTAAACATGAATGTTTATAAAGAAAATATATGAAATTATTAACATAAATCTTTATAAAGAAAATATATAAAATTATTTGAAAACTTTATAAGTTAATTTCTATCTACATTTTTTTTATAATTTTGTTAAATTCATATCAAATTTTCTAATTTATGTTTAATTTCTTTAATTTATAACTAAAATAAAATTTTTATAATATTTTGATTATGATAATCTGAAATTCACAATTATTGTCAATCATGGAAAGCTAAATTGGACAAGGTAATGGTGTGAATCGTGGTTCCTGATAAGTTTTGTTTAGAGGGTTTTAGTCATAGCAAATACGAGTTCACTAGAACCAAGGATGGCTGCAACATTGTCATATCAGGGGTGGGCAACTCGTGAAGGTTATCCCAGCTCAACCTTCAGTGACTCTATCCAACCATAGGGACCTGCCGTTCCTACTGTCAAACGTCCGTCTGGTCTATTTTGGGTATTCATTTCGTAGTGTAACTGTTTTGTGTTTAATATTTTGAAATTATAAGGCACGAATAAATTTTTAAGTGTAGAGGACACAAGTGGAAAAGAACCACCTCCTAATCCCGACGAGCTAATGCCGTGCGACCACCAGCGTGCCGGTTCCACTTACCCAGAAGTCCCTCACAAAGTCGACACACATAAGTTCCATGCGAGCCAAAATCTGTCTATCAAATTTTATGTGGATCTATCCATTGAAACATTTTATATAAACGGTCAATAATTTACCCTACCTCTCATATAAGGTTCTATCAGTAAATTTGATAATATCACCCTGATGTTTTCGTTTCATATGTTTGGATGTGTTTCAGTGCCTTGTGTATATTGTTTTTGTTTCTTGGTGTATTCAGTTTCGTATGGTTGGATGCTGTTGGTTTTACTGCCTTGTATATTTTGTTTTTTTGTGTGGTTATTTCGTTTAGCGCTGTTGTTCATTTTGTTTTGCTATTGCTATAATAATTATATAGTCGGGAAAATGAAATAAGTATAAGTTTTATGAAATTGATATTTATTAAATACACTATGGTGAAGGGTATATAAGATTCGGCACAGCCGAATACAGCACTCTTCCTTGTTTGTTTTCTCTTTTGTTTTTTATTGTCACACACATTAGTGATGCATTATTTTTATTGTACGAATAAACCGGTTACTATATATTTTATAATGATAAAGTACATTTTTTCTCAATTTTTGATATTTTTATAAATAAATCGTATAATTTAAATACAAATTTAACTCATTAATTATATTTCATTAAAGAATAATTATGTTTAAGTGAAAAATAATTATTAATTTTATTCGAACTGAGGAACCGTTTATTCGTTTGCAGTATTAGTGTGTTTTTATACATTTTTGATATCTTTTTTAATATTTAAAGTGCTTTTACACTATAACAAATTGTTGTTCGAAATAGTTTAAACCCATTTGTAAAATCACTTTTATATTTAATATTTTTACCACTTACTTTATTACGATACTTTGTTGATCGAGGCTGAACAATTAAAAACCCCACAGATCGTTGAGGTGAAGTCTAGGTGTATGGCTTCTTATAGCACTTATACCCATGGTATCTCCTTGATCACACTATGGACAATTTAAAAACCGCTGCTCAGGCAGAAAAGTCCTTCATTCCGAGACATGTTCTTGGCGTTGTATGGCAATAACCCCCGCTTAACCCCAGTAAATAAATTGTACTATTTATTGCAAAAAAAACTGCAAAAGATATTCATGATGTCATACAAACTGTTCCATTGACTAACGATGGCTATGCAGTGGCATGGAAAAAGTTAGTTGACTCGTCTGAGAACAAAGACTCCCTCATAAATGAACAGCTTAGTACTCTTTTGAGTATTAAACCCCTTAACCAAGAAACAGGCCCGAATATTAAAAATCGGCAACGAACGCTTAATGATTGTATTACGAATCTTTCATTATTAGAAGTTACCCCGGAAATATTTTATTACGTCATGTTAGTCTATATTTGTGCTACTTAGCTACCCGAGAATACTTTAAGTCTCTCGAAGAAACTTTGTCCGAAATTTCCAAAATGTGAAGATATGGACGCTTTTTTGACAGCTTATTTTTAAACTCTTGAGTATTTTTATGATATTCGACAGTCCAACCCCGTTCAAAACAAACCCCGGAATACTGTGTCAAAAAAGAACTCGAGTTTTAACCCCCCTAAGAAATCATTTAATGACTCTAGAAGAGTTCAAAGTTTTGCGACGAACACTACCCCGAGTCCCATAATTTGTCGTTGTTTCCTTTGTCAAGGACCACACCCAATAAGACTTTGTCCCAACTTCTTGAGACTTAGGTGTTGTTCAAATTGTTTGGCGACTTCTCACGATTTTAAGAATTGTAGAAGTACTCATGTTTGTTCGTTGTGTAGACAAAAACATCACTTTTTGCTTCATCCTAGGTGGCAAGGTCAAGGTTCTCAAATTTCACCCCAGCTCCCTATAGCTTCTGGTACAAATGTACCAATTCACCCCCGCATATTCCATCCCCGTCTAACCAAACTCCGCATAATATAAACCCGATTCCAGCAAGCAACCAAATTCAACACCCTCTTAATTTTCCCAATTCAACTTCTGCAGCGACTCAAAACGTTCATACGTGCACATCTTAGCCCAAACCCCAATTCTACAGTCCTTTTGGGCTCAGCTATTTGTATAGTCCATTTTGACCATCTCAGATGAGCAGCAAGAGCGCTAGTTGACCCTGGTTCGCAAGGTACCTTTATCTCTAGGAAATTACAAAGGAAACTTGCAATACCAACATTTTCGGTGCCATCGATAAATGTCACTGGTATGATGGACTGCTTAGCTGGAAATTCCTTGACTATGTGCGTTCTTACTATTGGTTCTCCAATAGACCCGAGTTTCAAAATGAAAATTTGTGCATATGTAGTCGAGAAGATTACCGGTCGCACAATGCTTTGACCCCATACAACGAATCGGCAAAAATAGACGGGTGATCGCAGGAGAATGAAATTTGGTAGGGTAGTGTCTGATGGTCTAATTAAGAGAAAGTTTCA